TAACTATTGCTGGTATCCAGTTTCGGGCTTGAGTTGACCCTGCTGTAAATGATTTGCTGGAGTCTTCCAAGCGCTTTGTCGCAAATATATATATATATATATATATATTGCATACCTATTACCGAAGGCACTAATGAACTTTAGACGTAGCCTGGATGAACCGTAGTTTCGCCAGTGACCCCCAGTCTCCCGCCTATCTGATGGTTCCATAGGATTTTCATTTTTAATTCCTTATCTTGTACTCGTTCGTATTCCGTTTATTTCACCTTTCATTATGGCTACCAAAAATGTGGAGGTTAACAGTTCCGTGTACAATGATGAATGAGTAGGAGAGTACTTCTTCCTGGAAAGGAAGGATGGGAAAATCAGTTGATAATACACAACGAAAGTATTGCCTTTTTGAAAGAGTGCAATTCTCGGCGTCACTATGAGATGAAACATGGAAAAACATATTTAAAGTTGTCCGGAAAGTTAAGCTCAAAGAAATAGGAGTAAGTGAATCGTAATGTTAGAAGCACAAGGAAATCTTTTCGCGAGAAAATTTGTTATAAGCGAATTTGTCACTCGTATAAGCTACGTAATAATGCATGGGATGGCAGGAGGAAAACCGCTGCTGATGGCATCATCATCATCATCATCATCATCATCATCATCATCATCATCATCATCATCATCGTCGTCATCTTTAAAGTGTATGATCGTAGTAGCAAATGATTTGTGTCCTGAAGGAAAGCCGTTGTTTTGAATTGTCAGATTTTCGACAAGTACCGTTGTGCGGAAGAGACAAGAATTTAGGAAGAAGATAACGCTACGGATACAGGGGAAAACCAGGAACTTGCTGCAGTCTTCCTTGGCACTAGGTGATCTGATCTATCGTGTACGTCACAACTTGCATGCTCATTGGTGGTGGCATTTGGGAGCTCAGATAACAGAAGACTTGTCATCAATTCGCAGCATGCTGGAACAACTACTGACGGAGACATTTCCGTGGAAATACATTTTTCAAGATGATGATGATGACGATAATGATGATGGAGAGCGAGACGAATCAATAAAACGCAGTCTAACTGTCAGTGGCTTCATTCCTCGCAATGCGGTCAGTAACGGTCCGCTTAGAGCTATAGTAGATTTGGCAAACAAAGCAACGTCCCCCTCAAGAAACCACAGATGGGCATCCGTAAAGCGTGTTCTAGCAAACGCGGTCATTCGGTATCCCTAAGTGGCGCTGTGTCGCTGGCTTATAGCGTTATTCTCAAGGACCGAATCACTGCATACATAAATCAGGCTTTGATAATGAAGAGTCTTCATATTATTCATGCCATATAAACTGCGTTAAAACTATTCTGGAGATGTGTCATTAATGCAGGATCGTATTCTTGACACAAAAACTGTTTGGAAAATTAAGTGATGATGATCAATTCATAAGAAACAAACCAACTGATCGACGACGAGCAACACCCAAAGTCAATTGCCCGGCATAGAAAAGCAAATACACGTCTTAGATGTTTGTGAGTGATAGGAAGGTCGGAAGTTGGACAGCCGGCCAGATTCCTCTTAGAGTCCTGGAAAGCACACCTAAACAACTGATGGCCATGTGAACGATTAGTGAGCGATACTCACCGATTACACTGTCGACGTGACTCCAAGGTGATGCAATGACAGGAGCAGACGTTCGATGAAGAAGTGAGCGAACGGCGATGCACCTCTCCGGAATCTTGATGGTCCGATACTTTGTCATTTCTCAGCCGGGCAGCTGAAGCAGCATCGGATCCCGATGAGTCGTGTTCCCCCGAAGATTCACTGTGTTGCGCGAGAGGCTGCGGAGGATAGAGTGGAAGACAAAAGGCTAGGGGATAAACATAGCACCCAGTTACAAGAACGCTCAGGTGGAAGTGAATGGGAATTGAAAGACATTCAATAGGATATTTTGCTCCGTACGTGACAAAAGCACAATGCAGTGAAGAAAAGTAGGTTGGGAAAGAGTGGAGGACACATGAGATACGATAAGTTGTGTAAGCGATACTTCTACGAGATAGAGGTTGGTGCTGCGTCTTGATGAGTAGTCAGATATCGGTGACATGAATGTATCGTGAGAACACAACCTGACATACCAGTTGAAATGAGTAAAACTATTTTGATCTGGGCACCGAAGTGTAATGGACCCAGTTAACATGACCCGAGTCGCTAAAGTAATATTACTGGTGAAAAAAATGGAATATGGAAAAGTGAATAAAGTTGCATGGGATGGAATATTAACAACCAGATGAAGGAAACCGGAAGTATAGGCGCGATTGACAGAGAGGTGACCGGTCCCGAGGCTCCTAACCACGAAGGCGACACGCACCGACATGACCATGGTATACACCAATGATCTGGTGATCTTGGCCAAATAGTTGAACTGCCAACATATAATGCACGTCCAGGAAAGTTGTCAACGGACATATAAGGGGCATTGCTTGGACAACGAAAGCGGTTCAAGTACCATAAAATTCACATTTCACTAAACGGGAAAGATGGTGTGCAAATTGAAGTGAAATTTCCAGTTTCAAAACAAGCAGTAACCAGAGGGTGAGGAATCCTCGTGTAAAGAGTACAAACGGTAGCCAAAGGCGACGAATCAGTGTGGAAATTGTCATTAGCCTGATAGAAGGTTCGAACACGAGAGAAGCACCACGCGCGCTAAAATAGAACAGAACGTACCGATGAGTGCTGATCGAGTGAAGATTTGTCGTTAGTTGTTGGGCCCAGTCGGATGTACCAAATGAGGAAGAATGTTGTGGCGAATGTGTTTAGCAACAGAACGATCAGAGCAATGATCAGCTGTCGATGGAGAAGAAAAGTGAGAACAATGCACTTAAGGGAAGTAAAATATGTATACTCTTAAAAAGTAGGCTAATTAGGAAGGTGCCAAAGAGAGCTGATTTCAGCTTGAGAGAGAGAGATAATCAGGAAACGCACGTCGGTTAAAAGTTGACACCAAACAGTAACGGTGTAGAGCCTGCCGAGAGACAATGCAAGTTAGATTGGCAAGTCGATTAGTTGACAGACCGAAATCAATCAATGGATACGAACGCAGGGTGCTGTGGCTAGGTACCCGTGAGTACACCGAGCGGTTATGTTGCAAAAGTCCCTAGTAAATGTACCTAACGAACGAAGGAGAATCACAGTTCAATCACTGTTTGGTTTTGTTGTACTTAGTCATCGAGGAACGGGAATGACAATGAATGGTGGCAATTATTAGAGCCTCGGTCCGTACGGAGATTGGGACCAATCGGGAACTGTCTAAGAATAGATCATTAGTTGTGGAGACGATGTAAAAAGCTTGCGTGGTTAGACCTAGATATTTCAAAAGCCGGATAACTTCATTTCAGTTACACAACCACGGTTCGCGCATTGCACTGCGGCGGACTCAGTTGACGTGACTCGCATTACCATGATGAATGGGCGAAGCAATGCTATACAAATAAATGTAGGTAGTTGAGTTTGTTCATTTGTTAGACGAACTGTTCGCTGAGACTGGCAGTTTTGTTGCAAACGTTTTGTCACCAGACGAGGTGACATCATCAGTGGGCTAGGGTGTAGCGGAACGGTGTGATGCGCAAGTAGATGTGAACCCGGTAGTCACACGTGTACACTTATAGGTCATCGTCGTTAGTCGTTTGGATAGGTGATATTAGAAAATGATCTCTTCAATCCAGGCCTCGTGACCATGGCCCGTCTGGCTCCGTGGATGAAAATGTCGCCGCCAAATAGAATCAAGGTAACACGAAAAACCAAATGCTACCCTGAGAGGATTGCTTTCAAGAGCGAAGAATAAAATCAAACAAGACAATCAAACCCATGTACTATACAAGAGAAACTGCAGCGAATGTGATAAACACTACATCCGAGAAACAGGAAGAAACTTTCCACACGGATCATAGAGCACAATAAGGTCATAAGAAGGTATGATTCTTATTCATTGGTTTCTATACACGGGGATGAAGCAGATCACTATATGATCCGAAAGAATTAGAGATTCTAGCAAGTGAGAATACGAAACAAGTAAGGGAATTCTTAGAAGCATGGCACACCACGATAAATCGACACTAATTGGATGCCATCTATGAAAGTCCGCAAGCAAAGAACCACCACCGCAGTCTAATGCTCCTACTGTACGAGGACACCATATGAGCAGCTCAGGAAACATTTTCAGTCACGGAGGCGAACGGGCCATGGTTAAATCACACCTGTCTAATGACTAATGACGATGACCTATAGAAACGCACGCGCGCAGCTGCCGGGTTCACACCTACTTGCGCATTGCACCGTTCCGCTACACACTAGCGCACTGATGATGCCACCATGGCTGATGACGAAAGGTTTGCAACAAAATAGTCAGGCTCAGCGAACAGTTGGTACAACAAAGTCGAATAAATAAGGGATGAAGAAAACGTACATAAGAAAAACACAGTAAGCGGTTAATGAGAAAACAGGCAGACTAGTAGATTAACAGCCAGATTCCAGAGTCCGGATGCAGAGACGTCACTAACTTCTTGACTGCATTATCAGGTCTCTTGGTCAGATTCGTAATTTCATTCCACCATCTTATTGACTGTTCTCATAAGTGGTCTCCATCAACTAAGCACAGCAACAATGAGGAATGCGAAGTGGGACAGGCGTTTGCGAGCATGGTGTGGACACGACCAAATCAACATAAGTGGTTGAGGTTCAACAGAGATCTCAGCGGATATGTGCGACGAAACGCAGACACTAGAGAATTAAAGGACAATAAGCCCCCCTATTGTCCCCGACGCGTAATGACCAGGTTCTTTATTCATACAGTAACAATGATCACAATGAAATTCTGTACACACAACCCCTGAATAATAAGATGATATCCCAATGTCCCCATGGATGAGTAAATCCAGGAAAAGCCATAAGAGGTTCACTGAAACGCTTAATGCCCTAGTAGATAACTTGGATCTTAAGTTTAGCGGAATGAGAAAAATCACGGGATTGAATCTCGATGGGACAAACAGCATCCACATAAGTCTTTGTACTACAAAGCGCTTGAAAGCAAAGCATAACTGCCTTTCATACAATAGATTTCCTCGGTAGAGATGGCGTTGTGTCCGTTGATTGGTCTCCACGATTCTGAAGTTGGCTGGTCAGTACACGGAGATTTAACTCTCCAGTGCGGTTGACAAATTGCGGAGTGACCGCCATAGATCGTTGGAGTTACGTGCTTCCTAGACCCAAAATACCACCGTGATATCAATTCTCATAGGTTTGAGGAGTTAAGTCGTATGTTCATGTTTGTTGTTTCAAATGTACAGCAGAAATATTGTCCGGCCTAGTTGCAGCAACCAAGTGAAACCAGATGCAACGAGCAACTTCTGAGCACGCACGAGCCACGTAGGCGTAAGAGAAGTTGCACTGAAGTATTCATGGTATATCAGTCTAATGACTAGACATAAATGCATCCAAAACCGCGGAAACACACGAAACGGTGCGAATACTGCACATGACGAAGTGTGAATCGTAACAGTTAAGGGGCGTTCGCTGTGCAAAAACGCGCATAATGAGTTATAAACCGTTCAGTTATTATGGTGTCCGCTGGACTGGAGAATACAATTGCAGAGGTATCATCACCATACGTGGTGACCCAGTCAGTGCAGGAGTGTGGCAGTTTCGTAGCAGGAGCTGGTGGAAGGCAAACCCAATGATGGATTTCGTCAGCCGCTACTCCATTCCTTATACAAACGTTGGTCATTCATTGGGTTCCACAGTTGCGTTAGGGCCACAACCATTGGCTGAAAAAGTACTGTTGCGAGGTGGTTGAGACTCCTGTAGTTGGATTGGTAAAATGGGCACACTCCAGTAGTCTGGGCTCATATTGACTGTTTGGGTGGCGGATTACGCTCATTCGAACTGCGGCCTTCAATCCGACTGAGCATACTTTGCTTCAGTGGTTGGTATACTGGATCGATGTCGATATGTATATTTAGTGGATTCTTGGTGGAAAACTAGGCTACAAAAAACCCCTCCTTCTTGCGCTTCTATTTAGGGCAGAATCGCTATGTTCTTCCAGTCGAAGCTGTGGCTTTCACCGACTACGTTCACTGAAACTAGCGAGATTGCAGTGTTTCACGCATGATCTTGTTGGTAAACTGTGTCCTATTTGCTCGCAATTTCGGCAATTTATTTTGTACAGGCTATTCTGCGTCTTTTGCATTACTCATTCTCTTTTGGTTTTGACAATATTTTCCTCAGAGTGGCAGAGGCTTGCTGAATAGGATGCTGTTTGAACAATCTAGGAAACATTTCGGATATGGTCGTTATGTGCCACAGAACAACCTGTTTCTTTGCCACTGGCGCAGGCACTGTGCTCGTTGACATATGATCTAAACATCTTCAGAGGAAACTCTGGGGGTATCTGTCGCGTTTACATACTTTGAATAGGTGTTTCTCATTTTCAATGAATCACGGGCAATGCTGATCTTCAGCAAAGCAAAGATTCCCATTTCATTAATATGAAACCGAAATGTACGTACGATATGTGGATGACACCTTCGTACTTTGCAAATCCGAAAAGCATGCGGAACAGTTGCTGAAAGCTTTCAATGACGCACAGGGGAATCTTCGTTTCACTTGTGAACACGAAATCGGAAACCGGTTACCTTTCTTGGATGTAGAAGTTATCCGCAACTCGGACGGATCATGCAGCAGAAAGGTACACAGAAAGCACACATGGACTGGGCAGTACACTAACTTTCACAGCGCAGTACCACTACAGCACAAGCGGAGTTTAATCAGATCTCTCGCCTTCAGGGCGCGCAGTATTTGTACACCGGATACCGTCAACGAAGAACTACAGAGAATCAGCGACGCCCTCAGGGAAAATGGCTATCCGGATAAATTTATCATGAAACATTTGAAGGAAAGCAATCGAAAGCCACCTAGGAGCATTGCTCCTAAGAAAGAGCTTTTCATACATATACCCTTTAAGGGTGATTCTGCAGCTGATACGTTATCCAGACGTCTGAAAGATGCTGTCGAGAAAACTTATTTCGCGGCCCGCCTGAGAATCGTTTTTCACAATAAGCCGTTGCTTACAAAACCCTTGAAGGATAGACTACCGCCGTTGACCCGTTCAATGATCATTTATCAGTACTCGTGCTCCTGTGGTGCACGATACGTGGGTCGCACGACGAGACGCCTATCTCAGAGGATTCGTGAACACATCCCTGCATGGTTTTACAAAGGCGAAATGAGGTCTTCAGACAGCTCTATCATGTCGCACCTCCTTGAATGTGGTCATACAGCTTCAGAGAATGACTTCAAAGTCATTTACTCATTACCTGAACACTTCTCCCAAGGATTCCGCAAACAACTCTTATCTATCGCCGAGGCTATGTACATTCACCATCTGAAGCCGGAATTATGTGTCCAAAAACGATTCATACGGCCGATACTACTACCTTGGCCGACGGACACCGTTACTTAGTTATTTGATTGTTACCTTACCTACTTAATTACATTGCACTACTGAGCCTTGTGTATACATGTTTATTTAGTTTACTTGGTCTACCATCTCTATCTCTGTCTCGAGTTATCGATTTTGGTCATTCAAACAGTCCAAAAGTCAATCCCAGCCCCAGTTGACGCTATCTCCACAATCAGTTTCTCATTTTCCCATTTCACTTCCGTAGTATTGCAGGGAGTTTCTATTACATAAAACAGTGTCTGCGTAGAGCTTATTTTGTCACATTTAGGACGGTTATTGTTGAAGCTCAGAATCTGACCCATCTAGGTGCGTGCTTTTCCTGTGAACTGATGTTTGCGATTCACCGGCTATAGTTCTGATTAATAATGCATTAAAAAAGGAAAGTTGTTTTTCGGATACTATGATAAGTTGGATGTCGTCCATGGCATTATTAAGGAATTGCTGTGAAGTCGACACTTGACTACGTTTGAGTATTAAAAAAGTATCATCGACGAATCGTACCTTCAGTTTCGGATTAATAATTGGCAGTAGACAATCTGTTAATGTTTGCATGACGATCTCCGCGATGAGCCCAAGGAAGGAAATATCGTTGGCGCACTCTTCACTCGTTTAAAAACTTTTTCCAGCAAACATAAAATGAATTTGGAGGCATAGGCAGAGAAGTTTGCAAGCGTGTCCAGTCGTAATGTTCCCACCTCACCGCTTATTGTCCAGGCGTACTGCGATAATCTCATATTCCAGATAGAAGTTGATGGAAGTGAATAGGGCGGTTACGTCAAAGGACACCGTCGTTGCATCGTGGTCTATTCGTAAGTCTCCGAGTTTCACCACAAATTGTTGGGCATTGTTAATGGATTGTTACGATCCACTGATTAGGTGCTTGAGGTGCCTCCATAGTTCCTTTGCCAGATTGTAGATGGGTAGGCCTGGGAATGACACGATTGGTGGTAATAGTGTCCCTTCTTTCTATACTAATGGGAGTAAATAGAATTGTACAACGTTGGAGTCTCGAGCTCGCATTCCTATGCAGTGATTTCGCACAACTGATTAAGCTTTGTCAGTGTCCTGTTTATTTTGTTTGTTAGCTCCGAGGTTAGGTCTTTTCAATGCGTTATTAGGTTGTCGCCTTATGCAGGAGCTGTTCCTCGGTACAATCCACTTTGTTCACTAATATTATCATCCATCCCATTTTATGGGCTATGATAACAATTGATTCGTCCGGTTTCAGCACACGTACCGTTTCTTTCTCTTACCGAGATAGAGTTGCATTGTTTGATGTGTATCATGGGCAGGGACGAAGTGCAGTACATCCAGGTGCAATGATTTGGGCCACTATACTAATACTAATGATGGCAATTATAATGGCAAACAAATGTTAGATGCAGTCTGTTCCCCATGTGGACTGCACATCAAGACTGGTAAGATCTAAAACCCCGGCTAACTATCCCACCTGGTTTTGTGAAGATTCGTCGTAGTATGACCCAAGCAGACCGGCACCAGAAATCTTGGAAAGCGCTAGATGGTTAGTTCGTCCTGTTGGGACTCGTCAGTAGCGCGCACCCGCCGAATCCTGCCGGATTCGAACCCATGACATTACTCTTGCCAGCCAGCGACTTATGCCACTGATTTATGCGGAACGGCTGCGGACCGCCACGACCGATATCTAACTGCGATATAGCGCGGCCCAACATTCACTGTTATGAATGTTGTGAATGTGTGTGGGGGGAGAGAGCTGGCCCCCAGAACCACGACTTCCTATGCCAGCCTCCACCAATCGAGGTGGCATGTAGTTGCTAAGGCGACTACTGAGCATTTGTAAGCAGAAGGGGATTTATTGGGTATTATGTGAAGTTCCGTCGTGGTTAGACTCATGCAGACAGCCACTACACATCCAGGAAAGTAGTAGACGGCCGTTCCGTCCCACTGGAACCCGTCAATAGCGCGCAGGCATATATCCTGCTTGAATACTTCAAACGAAATTGAATCCGGTTGTGAAATGCAAAATAGCGAGCGAGTAACACAGAAAATTAAGCTGATTCCGACATGACGCGAGCAATCGGACTGATGGGGGCTCACATTGAAGTAACTCGTGAACCAAATTAGGATTGCACGTTGCAACCCAAGCACTCAACGGATACTACAAACAACCAAACTATAAACAGCAGGAATAAGAATAATCAACAAGGATGGGAAGAATGAAACAAATAGTAAAGCGGAATACAAAAAGCGAGTAAAAGTATTAGGAGGTTAGAACGGTGACAATCAGATGTGGGGGACCAAATGCAGATACACCATTGCCTTCGTGACTACCCCATATCGGACAATAGGTCCAGCCACTGATGTCGCCGGCCCCGATTTGCCAATCAGGGAGATGGCACACAAAAGTATGACCAAGCCCTTAAAGTAATTTCTTCGTGTCATCTGTCGTATCATCGCAGGAAGATTAGCAAACTGAAGGTTAAATGCACGTGCTAATCCAAGCAGGCAACAAACTGAATGTGGTTCCGTGTGAAGAACAAGGATAGCACAATGCACAGCAGGCAAATGAAGTGAGACGAGCGAGTGACGCAGAAACACGCGATTCACACAAAACACGAAGTACATACGAGCAGAGTGAACATCCCAAAGGAAGACATACCTGATTGCGGCCATATTGAAATGCGGGGTCCACGTCGTTGACAATGTGCCAAGACGAAGCGAGCAGAAGTACGCTGGTGACAATAGCAGGGAGGCTAAAAGGAAGAAAACACGACTGAGTCCTTGGACCCAACAGCAAACGTTGCTAGTAGAAAGTGTCAAAGATATTCGAGAGCGAGGGGAAAATTCTGTCCCATGGGTAAGTGGTTCAATGAGTAAAGATGAGCTTAACATGCACTTCTGTGCGGTTCAAAAGTTACCAATTAGAAGTCGCGGTGCGAGCATAAGGCTTGAGTTATTGGTCAGCCAGAGTCCGAAAAATGTGGGGAATGAGGGTACTCAGATGTAAACTACCGTATCACGGAAAAAGCGGACTCCGTGCCCACAGGAATATAAACATGCATGACAAGGGGAATCATAGCTTCTAACTCGTGGTTGTCCGCTGGAACACACAACCGCTTGGTCCACTTAGTCGCGTATGCAGCGCGATATGACCTCCAAATGGGTGAATTTCCAGGCACTAAATCATATCTGCATTCGCCAAAATACATTAAAACGCGGATGATATCATTAATGATAGCATTTTAATAGCAAAAGGGGCAAAGGCAATGGAATAGAATGCAACACCAACCATAAAATGAGGAGAGAAGAAATCTCAAAGATGCGAATAATTAGTAGAAACTTACGCAAATCCGACAAGATAAATCCAGGTCTGGTGTCGCAGAACAAAACAGACGCTCCGGAACCGCTGCAGGAACAGAGAGAAGGCAATCAGTGTCATCCAAAAGCGAGCTCCGGTGCAACCGAGGAAAAATATGGTAAATTGAAGACAATTCAACCAGTTAGCTGGTTTGTCCAGTGCATGCTCTGGGGAAAGGAGAAAGGGAAAAGGCTATCTGGGAAACGGAGGTAGACAGGTTATCGCAATTTGTAGGCATAAACAAAAAGAGACAGTGTGATGATATCACAGTGAAAGTTGAGGATGCGGTGTTCGTATGAAAGAGGGATGCAGTGTGGTTTGATAATGTATGCGGCGATAAGTACCACAAAAACACCGCTTTGTTAGTCAAGGAGGAAACAATGAACAACACAATATGTAAGCGACGAGTATACAGCGCTAACGTGCTCAGGCAGCCAGTTTAGCAACAAGCGCGCACATCGGTGTGCAATGTTCTGATCAGCCTCAATTAGAGCAGGCGTGTTACACTGAGCACACATCGAGTGCCGCATGGGTCACAGTTGTTACCACGCACGCACACCACGATGGATGCCGCCTACCATGAATAGGTTTTCATTGAGGGTTCTTCGAAGCACTTTTCAACTTTCCCGGCCATCCACACGTCCAGAGAGGTACCAGATGACCGTTTCATTTTAATGGGACCAGTCACTAGTATGCATCCCTCGGATCCATCATCATCCGAACCCATGGCCACGAGCGGTTAGGAGACCGTTACGAAGAACTCTAACAGGTTACATCAAAAATATGCTACCCATATATATATATATATATATATATATATATATATATATATATATATGGTTGGCGGCATCCGGTTTCGGATTTGCCTGTCACTGGGGCCAGCCACAGGACGCCTGCACCTACAGAGGGACCATGGGTGGCTTGCGCTGCACCACCCACAGCTCCATCCACACACCCCATATCCAGTGTAAACCCGAGGGAATAAGACCGGGAGGCATGCGGATGGGAACCACGTTTCATCAACGGAGCCGGCCCACACTCCTTCACAGGCAAACACAAGCATGCTGTATCTGGGAATCAAGCGCACACAATGCGGTGGCTGGACCGTAGGCCGCTCCACACAGAGTGCATGGAACCATTCTTTGATCCTAACACGACCGCAAGGACCGTGCACCCTGTCCCCTCGAACAACGATCAACTGTCTCCTAGAGCCAGTATGGACGAGGTAGTGGGTAATAGACAGGTAGGCACCTTGTCAGCATGCACATCAAGAGCAGCCACACCGGGGATATATATACATATAACTGTATTATGGGAACAAGTATTAGGTTATAACAGTAAAATTCCATCGGAATATTATCAAAATGTTATAACCAATATCTGCCAAATTTTGATACTCTAATCGTTCTTCAAGTTCTTATGCAGCATTCGGAGAATATATGCCAGAGTACCAGGAGACCCACAAATGTGAGAAGATATTGTCAGTGTGCGGTATTTTCCTGAGCCGATTAACGGTGAAATGTAGACCCAGCAAGATTTTGAACTGTTGCACAGTGTTGGCCACTGCATGTGCTGCTAGTGCTCCAAACATATAGCACTCTATGTTCGAAACACATGGGGTGGAGAACTCGCTTTATAATTCGCATCACAAGCTTGTACCGGCGTCCGCGTTTGTTGCATGACGTTCGCAAATGGAGCAGCGGACTCAAGATGGGGAAGTCAAAGAGATGTAATGGGAGGTAAGTCGGGATGAGATCGATTCGCACCCGACAAGGTGTAGAGTACTGGTTTTTCACACCGAGCTTCGTACAGCAAACCATGTAACCTGGGGATGAGCCTGGTAGTGACGAGTTGAACCTGTTCGATCTGCGCCTCGTCTCGGGTGGTCGAAGACTACGCGGGTGAGCCGTACTCTAGCATTAGGCTAATGACGGATGAAATGAGGCTAGTAGCGACTTCTTCAGACCAAATGCAGAAGCTGCGCTTGAGTGCCCAAAGCATGCGCAGTCCGTTACGATACAGACTGCTCGTATAGTCCACAGAGTTTATGTCATAACACAAGAGGACACCTAGGTCCTTCACGGAAGGCGTTTGGCCGTCAAAAGTGTAGGTTCGACCGTCACCACCCTTCCCCAGGCTAAGGAATACCGACTTGGTGGGGTTAACCAGTGAGGCGGACTTATACGGACCACAAGGGGAGGCGGTTGAGGTGTTGCTGAAATATGTAAGTTTTCGGGGGTGCTAATCGTCTCCCAGATTTTCAGGTCGCTCGCAAACAGCGCAAATGGCGACCGAAGAAGCTGAGGTAGATCGTTGATGTGAATTAGGAACAGAGTGGGCCCCAGTACCGAGTCATGGAGTAAAGGGATAACGGTCATTTAGTGAGCCGTTGATTCGTACCCTGTAGTTTCGCCTAACGAGAAACTCCCAGATCCCCTAATACCGCGCATTCTCAGCTTGTGGAAGAGGACCTCACAGTTTACCTTTCCGAACGCCTTGCTGAAATCAACATAGATCGTCGACAGATTGTTCACGGATCATTGTCTGCAAGCAGTCATGCATTGGCACGAGAAAATTGGTAACGCATGAGCGATTCGGCATAAAACCGCGCTGTGCGGACGTCAGATCTTTCGATTTCGCCAGATTGGCCTGTAGTTGCCCCATTGCTGGGGTCAGCGGCTTTCGGAATCGGCTTTAAAACGGAGCATTTTCAGTCGCTCGGCAATGAAACCTCGGACAGACACCTGTTGAAAAGCAGGCGAAATGATGGCCAATGAAGACTTTAGAATCAGGTGGTAAATCCAAACAGGCTCAGCAGGCTTGGCGCCGTCAAGGTTGGTGATTAGTTGGTGCACTTTCCAAACACTGCAATCCAAACTACGGAGTTCAGTAAGCGCGAAAAACGTCGAATTCGGCACATATACCTTTACGTTTGAGAACACGAAATCGAAGTGAACCGCAAACCCGGACACACGCTCAGTGCTGAAGGTCGGAGGCTGTCCATTCGAGCCCTCTAACACTGGTAGATCACCTGCCGGCTTCAGGCGCCGCTTCATGTAAGCAAAGGTTCGCTTCGGGTGTGTTTGTGGCGGTTGCGAGTGGCTCTTCTAAATACCGGCGCTTGCGCATTTTTGCAATGTTGCAAACATTCCACTGACTTTTATACGCTTGAGTCGGTAAAGAGCCGGAGAGGAAATCCCCCAGTATATGCCAACACAGAGGAAGTTTACCATAGTCCTTGTCGAACCAATGTGGTTTGATTGATCCAGCTTTCCGATACTTCAGTGGTACAAAACGGGGACGGAGAAATGTCAATTTCGGTTTCATAACAATCCAACACTTCCATAGATGCAGCTTGTGTCAGAGACCGTTCCACTTGGCTAGCGGCTCAAGTAGGACCGTCGAAGTCAGTTTTCCAATAGTTGTAAGCTGGCTCCAGCGGAAGGGAATACGGTATATGTACTTCCATAGTAGCAATGAATAGTTGCTTGCTGACAGTGGCTCCGGGATCTGAATGTCACACGCATTTTATCGACAACGTGGTAATATTAAGTCTAGGCACGACGGAGTTAGGCGCTGTGTTATACGTGTCGGATAGCATATGTGCTGCGCTACTCCAGTTTCAAGTATCAAGTTCACGAACTTTGCTTCGACTTCACAATGTCCAGGTATGAGCTAGACTTCATGTCAGCGTACCCCATGACAATTAAAATCACTCACGATTAAAAAATGAGGACGACTCATGTGGTTTCGAAGATGTGGCAGTCGATCCAAACTACAACTCAGGGGACTGAGATAAATATATACGCATATTATATAGCTGGTGAACTCATAGGAACATGGTCTTTCGATTGATAGATCATGAATATAAAAACCCGGACAACCACAGACATCCACTTTGGATTTTTAGAACCTTTTCTGTCACTGAAACCGGTTTTGCTTTTGATGTGCTCTTGGTTCACATCGAAAACAGCGGGTGGTAAACGCTAAACAAGCGATCCCATTCATCGTCTCCTTAGTAGACAAAGCTTCCGTCGCTCAAGGCAACTAGCCAAGTCATCGGAAATGTATTGACATCTGCATCGGGGGTAGAGTCTAATCGGAATTTCACCCACTAACCACGTTCGCCAATGGTAGCCGATGAGCCAACGTGCCTCAATAGTGTCGAAACACAAACAGTGAGTTCAAGTGAAGAGAAAGTATTCACAATGATGCGGGAAAAGTTGACGCAATGTAAGCATGATCCAAGGTTTGACCGAAATGCGGGTGAAAGACTCAGATTGGTCGTCATTTTTGCACTGACACTCCATTTGTGGGTTGTGACGCAGCTCAGAATTCAGAAAAGCGCACAATTGAGTGGGAAATAACTGATGTATTACAAACGTTTATAATGGAAGGGGCCGCTTCCAATCCAACTGTCGTGAGCGGCACAGTTAAAGAAATAGGTCGTTAGTATAAGTCTGGCAGGTACCGGTTTAATTCGTCCAACATGCTCTCCGCCTTCCGTGCAGTATCGACGACAACAAAAGCGTCGTCTACATACCGGGCGTAGAACTGTGTCTTTACTATGGTTCGTTGTAGTTGATTATTTTCTACAAGGCATATGAAGATATCGGCTAGAACAGGTCTAAGCTGGCTGCCCATCACTATGCCTCCGATTTTCCTTAGTGCATATGCGGAGTAGGGCCTTCAAACGGTGTGCTGGAAAGCCACCTTGCTCGCATGTATACCTCGAATTAAACCAATGTCATTCGGAAATCAGTTTAACCATGGAAAGAGTCGGGGGAGATGTTTCACTTCTTGGATGCTTCCCTAAAGTGAAGATCAGATGGATTGCTAATACGGTCGATTTATCACAAACCCAGCTGGACAGGGCAGTACCTAAACTTTAACAGTTACTGCCAGATGAACTATAAGCGATCCTTCGTTCGCACCTGCTTCACAAGAGCGCGCCGGATCTGTTCCGAAGAGTCAATCCCGAATGAACTGCAGCGCATTGCATCAACACTACGCGATAATCGGTACCCCAGTAAATTTATAGCAAGATATGGAGAGGAAAATCTCCGAAAGATGAAACAACCCGATGTTCCCAAGAAGAACGTATTCATCACCATACCTTTCAAAGGCGAACAAACTGACAATTGGTTCTGCCACTGGCTACGGCAAACTATAAAGTGGTGCTATTACGTTGCTGAGCTAATGCTACTGCACCAAAACCAAAACGTTGCTGCGCCAATCCAACCTAGATAAACCTTTCTCTCAAGCCATCGCCTCCTGTATTTCCCAATTTAACTGTCGTGTGATAACATGTACATTGGTCGGACTGAGAGAAGGTTATCTCCAAGGATTATGGGGCATGTTCCGCGAGGCGTAGCGATGAGCGGCCCTAAACTACCTGCCAGCTCAATTGCCGACAACTACTCGATTGCAATGTGTGTCAAGACCCACGTAACTCGTTCGAGGTGGTCAGTAAGCAGAACAGTCCGACACTGCTCCGATTTGCCGAGGCTTCCGCAATCCGGCGGCTGAAACCCAACCTGTGCAAGCAAGTGGATCTCGTATCCAGCTTAGCCTTGCCAAGGTGAAGACCAGCCACTGGAAGTGATGACAACGATCGCTTCAGGATTGAATTAGTTGCCTTATTGATTTCATGTCATATGCACGCACTGAATGTTCCCACTGTACGTTTGTAAGCGACAGATTGAGAATACCAGCAATACACTACATTCAGTCTATCTCGGGAAATGCTGGTTGTTCTTGCTTGGTTGAAAGTTCGCAAGGGAACTGGTTGCATGTTATGATAACTGCTTATTTGAGATTGGTCAGTTAACGAACAGCACGTAATTTTTGGAAATGTTTGTGCCCGTTGGATTCAACTTCAAGGCGTTATGGATCATCTTGAAAGATTTATGGAGGAACATGAGTTCGTTAAGGAGGAATTCGAGAACGCTATGGATGCACTTGGATGAGAAATGGTATAGTGTAGCGACTAAACGCTGTCGTCGAGCTGTGCGTAAGAGACAATCGCAAATTGATGAAAAGAGAGGTTGGATACAAGATCTACATTGCTATTTGCAACACATTAATGAAATAGCAAGAAAAAATTCATTGTTCCCGTTCTGAGTTTGGCAACTAGCGGCGCTGGGGTAACGCTCAAGTGGGCATGTTATGGGAAGTTCCCATGCTTCAAGCCAAGAGTGAAGTGACAAAACATGCACAGTGTTGTCTGTGGACGTTGATCGATCGACAGACACACGTTCGTTCCCATTCGGAGATAGCATAACCAATAAACAATGCAGGATTGATCACATGGTTGAATGTGAAGGCGCGATGCACAGAATCCGGAACATGATGGTTGAGGTCATTCCGTGAACATGTGTAACGAGCGACGTATACTCGGCGCGTGGTCGAATTTGAGTCATTGCCTTCATGCCATTTTTCCCGTTTACCTTACAGGACGCCATCCTTGTTCAAGTACAGAGGAAGGAGAAGAACCGGAAGAGAACGGTTAACTGTAACGTTTCTTGCACCTTTTCTATTGTTAATTGATTCCCTTTTACAGAGCCTACATGTTCAATTTCGGCCTCTAACTTTCTTCCTGTTCCGTATGTTACACATGGAGTCTGGAGCAGCAGGACAATATGGCAGGATAAACAAACGCATATACTTCCACGCGCACAGAGAGGGAGTGGCGAAAGCCTGGGTAGCGACAAAGTGGGAAGGGTGCTTGTGAGTCAAGATGCTTCCACACAAAGGGTGAACGCATACAGAGAGGAAAACACATGACGGTCTGCATAGCTAAAAAAGTGAAGGGCGATTGTGAATCGGGAGAATTTTAGGCGCATATCCAGATTCCGCTACAAAGTGCTGATGGTGAAAAAGCTTGTGTGAAATGAGATCCTTAAGTGGAAAGACTATTTAGCTAAACCGTCAGCATAGATCATAAGGAAGTAGATTCGTACAGGAGAAGCAGACAAGCACAAGCAGAGTAGAGAAAAAGGGTAGACGCACTGCTAGAATTCGCGGGTCGATAAATCTCTCTCATTGACAATCTGCACACGGGACTCTGTCAGAGGATTCCTATCTCCACACTCTAACCCACGCGACGACGGTGTGGGTGATGGATGGAAACTGTTTGGAGGGTTCAAATCGGAGTCTTACACGCGACAGCCAAGTCACTGTGGAGCGGATGAAACAGTGCAGTTTAGCTACAGACTGCCAAGATGATCCGATCGCAACAAGCCACATGCAGCCTTAAAAGATTTAAAACAAATTATACGCAGTAAAGGATATACCTGCAAGCACACGAGAAGCTTCTTGATTTGAGGCAGGTGACGGCAAACTGATGCGAAATATTGTACTCCTCTAGCGTTACATAGAACACATGACACTCGTGTGCCAATCCAACCTCGTTCAGCTTATAACGCACAAACTTTGGACACAATGAATGCGTTCTGAGATAAAAGAGTCATCAACCCCGTGTCAACAGGCTTACAAGAAGGGAGGCGCGGTCAACCGACAATGTGCATCAGTTTCTTGGCCTCAAAAATGCAAGATGAAACACAACCGCGCGAGTGTAGCATGTGACGGAGTTTCCACAAGATGCTGCCTCATAGACCTCGCCACCTTGATGCCCGGAGGACAGCAAGAGCCGGACAGTGACGAGCAAACACCCCTAAAGCTTGGGTCTCCACTTGTTTTCTGATCACCAGGTCGTCATATTACAATATACCACTACTTGGAAGAGAATGAGGGTAGACCTCTGCTTTATGTCAGTGGAATTGCAATTGTGATTGACCAGCGATTCGTCCGGAAGAGAAGTAAAACAAGTGACATGCAGAATTTTCCCTAACGATCATAATGCAGCGGCAACGATAACACGAGAAGCCCGTGGATATTGAAAGTTGCCCGCTCGAAAACACGGCCGGTTTTGTACTTAGATGATTTTATCAGGTAGAAATAGCAAGCATGGAGCCCTGGAACACTGGGATGTTAGACGATGCGAAGACCACAAAGCCAAGGAGGCACGACTTGTGATGCACAATGGTTAATGAATGATCGGAGGGTGATTTTAAAGCACAGATTGTGTGAATGGATCGCGAAGGGCAAACTAAATAAATCATTTGTTTCTTACATATGGAGAGATAAATGGGTGCTCATTTAGAGCTCTGATAGATGCGTAAACATCCGCAATCTATCCGACTATAAGGTGAATCGTGGTCCACATTGAGAAAGTGCGTCACAATCCGTTTATGTAATCAGTGTTTCAAAATGACCCCTCCAATCGACATGAGAAGCTGTAGGTAAGTGATGACTGAGAAAAACTTTGTAATTTGCGGCAAAAGCAGTGCGCAGCCGTTGCATGCAACCTGCCGTTAAGGAGAATAAGAACACTCACCTCTCCAAATGTGTAGATCACTGGTATGGTCGCGTCGGTTTAAAAGGTACCCAGCAATAATGCCCAGGCACGAAAGCAGCACACAGCCAATGTAACAGAGAGTGAATCGATGAGGGATTCGAAAGGCCTTGCGAGTCAAAAAGAGCACAGCTGCTGTCAGTATCTGAAGAGGGAGGTAAGCGAGAGAAACAGTGGTCAACACTTCTGTTGCATAAAGAGTGCGAAAGAAACCATTTGAGCGATCCAGACACCCAGAATGTATTACGAACATGATTTGCTAAAACATCCACTGACACTATACGCACCACGTTTGATTAGTCAACCACTGTAAACGCAACGGTAACTAATGTCATGTGGGTCGAATATGGTTGGCATACAAATGTATGCAGTGGGAAGGGCTGTCCCATTTTATTGCTGCAACCAAGTAGTTCGTATGTGAGACCCCGAGGATAGGTGACGGTTGTTGTGGATCCCAGTGCGACAGCCAAACTGATCATATTAGGAAAAGTCGAAGAGATGCGTTTAAGTGGATGTGTAAAATCATAACTCAATAAAATCATGCTTAAAGGAGGATGCAGGTCAGCCAATCAGAATCTAACCTGAGGCAAGCAACGGTGAAATGACAAATAAATCGCATACGCAATGTTTGGACTTAGAGTACCCGCAGTCTTTATGGAGACTTAGGGTTATTTTGAAGTGCACTTCAGTCAGTCCGACAACTAGAAATTATCCGGTGTTACCCGTTCCCAATAATGTACTCTAGGATCGATTTTGTCCACATTTGGACATAAGAGGCAGAGATATCCGCAGCTGGGAATAGTACTCGGAATGTAGTGGTTGGCGACTGACGTCTAGGTCACCGAGATTCGCGTGATTTGCTGCAGATCACAAGGATAAACAGTAACTGAAAAATTTCAGATCCTGAAGAGAAATTAAGCATTAGATATTTTTAGGTTGCTCCGTACATGATAAATAGTTAGGGAAACGGGTAGTAACCTGTTCGATAGCCAAACACAACGATAATTAGTCCAACTGTTACGTCAGGACCATGTGCCCTGACCGCCTGATAGTCATATGCATATCCTTAGGGAACCCGCGCCAATGGCTAGAGAATCCATGCAGCGGAAACAAAACAAAATATTGATCCTATAGCGTATTGTTCGCATAAATGAGCCCTTCAGATGTCGGAGGAAAGTCACTCGTTCCGTAACCAGTAGATCTCATCGAAGCGATTGAGTTACTTTAGTAACCGTGCATGGTTTCGATGATGCTTTAGACTGTCGGTCCGCTCAACCGACGCACACAATCATCGACCCCGATAACTGCTCCCTTGCTCCACTGCGTGTGCGTTTGGATCATTCCTTGTTCGTGTACCGGAACATTCCAAACGAGACAACCGGTAGAAGTCCGGCAGAGTTAATGTTCGGTCGTGGCTTGCGTATACGATTAGATTTACCGCAAGAGACCATTGAGTCACAAGTTGCTGAAAGTCAACAACGGGTGAAGGTACATTTTGATAATTGTAGCAGGGACAGAACTGTGACAGTCAGACGCAATTTACGGCCGTTTACCTACAGACTCTGTGTGGGAGGCAACCGTCGTCAAAACAACTAACGGATAGATCGTAGAAGCAGAAATTGATGATAGCCGGATCGTGCGGCGCCCTTTGGACCATGTGCGACCAAAATTCTCGAACCGAGAAACAAGAACCGCCATTCCAATCACCGACTGATGTCGGTGATTGGAAGAGCGGGTGCAGGTGATTGACGTCCAACCAGTAACTGAAGCTTTGTTAAGCCGCTCAAATCGTTAACGCCAACCAGGCGAGCGCTTCCAGATCTGTTAGCTCAAAACAAAGGGGAGAGGAATGGTAGGGTCATTGATCATGTCAAATCCATTCACCGCTATTCAGCCGGAAAGGTTACAAATGCTGCCTGAGTGCATAAGTATTGGTGTATCAACCAATCAGTGACCACTACTGAATCGCTTCGAAATGAAAAACATTCACGCGTCCATGTGATTATCATCAAAAAACAGTTTTGTTTACTCACGTGCTGAGTGGAATATGCTGCTTTACGCTTGCCACTAAAAGTTTCCCACTACCATATCACGGTTCTGGTTTCGCTTGGGTACAGCACATGCAGAACATCCGGCCTCGCCAGTTGCCAAGTGTGTATGCACTCACAACGTCCTCGTGGGTGACCACGGTAAGGCACTTGCAGATCAGCACATACATGTGCATGGTCGAGTACAGGCTTGTGCCCCAAACTGATCGAGTTTTAAACGCAACGGTGACTGATTGCGACTTACGTCAATGGCTCGGCCCAGACTGGTGAGCACCATATCATGCTTTGGCGGGTGCTGCGTTGGAAGCTGGTGCACCCGAGAAGTAGACGAACATCTTCACACCGGTGCAGCAAATGCTCACAATTATCAATACACGGGCCTATGCCTTGTTGGCTGCCAAGATGCAGTTCATCACTAGACAACATTCCAACTTGAGCGTTCAAAACACTAGCTAGCACCCCAGTATCCGAGCATTTCGGTGTCGAAAAAGCTAGTTCAGCTGATAACAGAAGCCATGCTTCACCGAGTCAGCGCCATAATTGGGGGGGGGGGGGGTAACCAGCGAAGACAAATAAGAACCTATTGGTCCCACGCGACCGGAACTTTGAACGAGGCAGCCAATCTGACGGCGCACATCCGGCTGTTGATTGGGATCCAATCAATCAGGACAGCTTCACTCCTGGGACTCAGAGCAATGCCCACATCGGCTTCACTATCATTTGAAGCTGCATTATTTCGGGATAGACGCGGGGAGTAAGTATCGCAGGTGTCATGTAATGGGGAGATTAAAGTGAGCACATAAATGAGTTAATGCAAGTGGGTATCTGAGAAGCAACAGATATCGATCGATAGTGTTCAGACAATTGATACATGTGACCGATTTGCAACAAATTGCGCACTTTGTCGTATGCCAGTCTTAACGAGGATGAAGTAAACAACAAAGCAATGAAAACGAGGTACTGTAATGCTGCGATCCGAGTTTACGTAGAGAACAAAGGGACAAAGTGTTCTCTTAGCAGTGCTTACATCCTGGCTTTCCTTTCGTACCATCACACGAGGCTATATCGTCTCCGTTTTATTTGACTAGATGTTTTCTTCAGAGATTTGTGTACATTGCGAGCACAGCAATTGAATTCATCGCAGTTCTTAGTTCTCGGATTTTGGCTGTTCAATACAACTGAACCAGATGGGACATGTGGATTGGGCACAACTGAATTGACAGAACATGTTCCGTACGAATGCTACAGTGACTATTAACGGGGTTAGCATAAGCCGATCGATTTTGGTCAGGCGCGCGGACACTCAAATCAATCAATCGTGTTTTGTGAGTGTAACCAACAATAGAATTAGGAAAAGAACTAAGGATGTACGGTCGGGCACGCCTCGTTGAAATTCCAGGTAGTCAGAGCAATTCCATGTTTCATATTCCGACGGAAAATGTTAACCATTTCTCGTGGAATCCGCTGGACGTACAGAGTTTGTACAGCCGATCGCAAGGGAGAGATGGAAGTAAGCTCACGTTGTGTGTCACAAGAGCGATAAAGTAGGCAATACGCGAAGATTTGATGGGCGCGTCGTACAGCGGAGCAAGCACGATCTGTGAGACAGGATGCAGTGGGGCAAGTGGTCTTGACTACGATCGTCATAATAATACTAAGCAAAAGCGGTATGGAAAAATATAAACAGGAAGATGTATTACGCAAAACAAGACGCTCATGAGTCGGAAGCGAAGGAAAGAATGGAATAGTGCCGGTAAATGTTCGTGACTGTGTCGATGGCGCTTCTAGCCGTTGGCGCAGTTGACCTAGCTGACTATATTCAATGCAGCACAGTTCATCGTAGTCGTGTTAAGCGACCACGAAATGCGTTGGACTCAGTTGCCAAGACTCGCGTCGACGGCACAAAAATAAACAAAAAAACAAAGAATAGAGAGAGGAATACGGAGAAGGGAGGTAAACAAGCTGCAATAGTAATGGAAAGATGAAGGAAAGGAAATGCCAATGAGCAACTGACTGTGCGACTGAACCATGCCCGACAGAGCCTGCAGCCAGTGATGTGGCCCATCCCGAGGTCCGCACTCACGAAGAGAGCACGGGTCAGCTTAACCTCGCATTTGTACCCAACTAGGCGAACTAACACCACGTTATGCACGATGAGGAAGACGGTCAGTGAGCATACGGAGTACATGACCTAGTCAACCTAAGCGCCTCAGCACTGCTCGCGCGGTTCTCTCACCAGATGTAAACGACATACAGCAAACACAGGCGAGCAAAGACGACTGAACCCCCAGCGACATCAGCGCGCAATATCCAGGTCACTGATCCATACAGTAACATCAGCCGCAGTCTCCACAGATGGTTGAATCTGTGGATAGCTGATACGCGAAGTAGCACACTTAGCTATGTAAGTACCAAAGGTGAACCGATCGACCATTTCAAATGGCTGTTCGGTGACAGCTAGAATCGACTCAGTCCTGAAGCAAAACTGAGGCACATACCGAAACGTGTGGCGCTACATGTTAGCCTATTCTGCAGTGCTTGCGCAGCCATTACATTCGACCACAAGAGAGCTATGCTGTCTGTAGGCTCAAGTTTACAAGTCAGCCGCCTGGAAGAAGTTTCGCTCCAGAAGAGACTAGGAATATAGGGTCGGTCATGACTAGTTCGATTACAAAGTTGAAGAGGGAAGAAGATATAGGGCAAACTTAGTGCAACACACTTGTAGTGAGAAACTCAGGGGATAGTCTCCCGTAAATTCATGACTGGACTTGGAAGCTGCAGTTGAGAGAAACCCAAAAACAGAAAGGATTGTATATGGAAAGCCCTTTTGGAGTAAATAAGAAGTACATCCAAGAAAGTGGCACCCACTAACTGAGTTCGATTACTCGAGCACATTTGCCAAGTCATCGGCTGATCTATCTGAAACCAGGTACATCAGAGACGAAAAATATGGGCGAGAGAGACACAGTTGAATAACCTGACCTATTGAGCATAGACGGACAAAGTTCGACTGAATAACTTATGCGGTGCGCAGTTACTGCGAATCCCACTAGGCACTCGGTGTATTCACCGGACGTGGGGGATACTCACAGTCTGTGTGT